TTACATGTTTTCAGTATGCTTCTTCAAGTTTGTGTATCTCAAAATTTTGGTGGTCAACGTCATACAAATTTTAGTGCAAAGACATGACCATTTGTTCCTCTGTCTGTAGTGAAAAGCTTTCAGCCCAACGAAAATTAGGGGAAAAGTTGGAGGTGGGCAAAGAGGCCAGAATTAACATTGAAGTCAATGGGGGAAAATAATGGTGGTCTGCTTCCCTATGTCCAGAATGGACGCCATATTGAACAATTAGTGTGCTATTTTATTCTAATCCGTTTCATACAAACAAAAATATCTAAAAAAAAACATTTTCAATTGAATAGAAATATACTTCTAAAAAATATGGAAGTATAGTTAGTGTTTTCTAATAAAATCATCAAATAGAAATCAGAATGTCTGTCAACTGGCTTAGTGTCTTTTCTCAAGTCAGTTTAAGTTTTGTTGTGATATGTATCTTTTATCTTAATTTGCAGTCATAGAGAGATCTGATTATACCGGGACTAACATAACGTGATTGCGTGTAGGATGTTTTTAGCAGTGGAGATGAAACCGAAGGACTGGGTGAGAACACTCGATATTAGGCAATTGTCCTAACTCCTTGTCACCGTCAAGTCTGGGAACAAAACCAAGGCCACTTGACTCATTGACAGACAGAATAAATGGTTTGGTTGTCGAATTTATGTTATGTAGAAATGAATGGCTGCCTGTGTCTGGTCGTGTATGCGATAGTATTAGAGAAATGAGTTGAAAAATGACCCTTTGTATAATCGTTAAGGTTGATTCGATGACGATGTAACCAGAGCTTGATTTACACCCTGTCGACCCAATGGGGGTTGGATAGCTGAATGGTTAGCATGCGCGCGCTGTATCATAAAGTCTGTCATTGAGTCAACTGGCGTGGTTTCGAATCCCCGGTTGTACGTGGCAAGGAGTAGGGTCGCCTGTCCAACCGCGTGGGATTTCTCCGGGTCCCCCGGTTTCCTCCCACTGCTAAAGACCCCTACGCGCAAGCGAATCATTGAAATAAAATTAAACCATATGTTAGTCCCGAAATGACCTAGTTTGTGTCGAGTGGACGTTAAACCCCATTTCTCTCTCTCTCTCTCTCTCTCTCTGTCGACCCAAGGCATGTCAGATTCGGGGGCACCGTAAATTATATAACATGAAAAGAAATGGGGTTTAACGCCCTACTGTTCTGCTCCTATACTGGGCTAATGGAGATGAACATACACCATTTAGTGTGCTAAGACAGAAATTTTGCCCGGACAGCGGCACTACATCCTACTCTTATATCGAATTCCAACTGTCAGGGGTTTTTTAAAGTGCATTTTAACGTGGACGCGGGCATCGGTTTATCGTCCCTTGCAAGGCCCGCGCCCTATACCACTGATAAGGGAAATCCCTCTGACCTTTATCATCGGTCGACACATATATCGAACACGGGACTTCCAGGTTAGCGAGCCAACGTCTAACTTACTGAGCCACCGCGGCTCACTGACAAGTTTGATTTCAAGGAGCACGTGTGATTTTGTTTATCGACTGTAAGAATAACTTTGACAATATTTTGCAGTTTGTAATATAGAAGACAAAGTGATATAGAATAATAATTCAGATTTTATAATTACAAATTTTATATAATAAAGGAAATCCAGTGGATTGTCTCCTTATACAAGTAACAGTGTGGAACAGTACAATTTATTAATGTCGAGGCAAAGCTTAATGTCTCTATATTTAACACTGCTAGCAAATACTGCTTTAATTAATATGTATACGACGGTTCGATTCCCTACGTGACATTAATAATACTTTATTGTTGTCTATCAGGGTTTAGAAACGTGATGTCGCTATGTTATTTATTCCAATGTCAAATCGATGTTCATTCAATGTCCGCCATCTTCAAGTTATTATATACAGGAGTGCATATCTATGGTAGACATAGTGCCTCAGTTGGTAATAATGGCGCTAGCTAGTAAACTTGGACGTACCTTATTCGCTCCCGGTGTTGGCAGAGAAAGTTACGTGGGATTTACCGGCGTGCTTCCTCCCCTTGTCAGTGCTGCAGGAAGTAGATCTGGCCAAACAAACGAGTCCGGTTGTTCGGTAGGCAAAACACCCGACGTCCCACGTACACGTTGACGTACATGTAAAATAACATGTAGGCGAACTGTATGGCGGATCCCTGTCTTCATTGAAATTGTTTGGCGAACTGCATGGCCGATCTCTGTCTGCATTGGCCTTAAAGGCTCAATACCACTCTTGTTGTAACTGAATAATATGTCCCAATCTTTATTCTAGTCAATTGTACTATTTTACAATATTCCAATTAATTGATCATACAAATTTCATCTTAACACACCTAATTTATAAAATTGGAAAAATTCAACTAAATGATTTGAAAAGCCTAACGTAGACCTTTTCAAATGTGACTTGGATTTAAAGATATTTTCGAACCCTCTGGACAAGTAAAAAAGGATGTAATGGATAATTTACACAACAGGTAGGACACATAAACATCTAATACCTAGAATAAGGGTATTATTTATTTTCTGGAGCTGTCAAGCCAGCAAGAGTGTTTTTGTCCCTTTGATTGGCTATCTGTATGGCTGATCTCAGACTTCATTGGCCTTGTTTGGCGCAGAAACGTGGGAAGATAAACCCACATTTTATTTCATTTCCAAACCATTAGTAGATGGCGTCATAGGATATGTTTAATCGCTCTAGGACGGACAATATAACTTCAAATTTAAGGGGTCAACTTGATTGACAGATTTTTTATTTACATTTAAGCTTATAGTACATGATTCGTTGGATGAATTAATAATAGTATTGCTACTGTGTGGATTTGGCTTAAGTCTATTGAATAGCTCGTAATCAACAGATTAATGAGATTTAGATGGATTAGTATAAGTAGTAATCTAAGATCACCCTCGCGTTTAATTAATACACTTATAAGTGCATGTATTAATATAACCGTGACCACACCCCAGGGAGTGGTAACAAGTGAAATGAAATGGGGTTTAACGTCCTACTGGAGTGGTAACAGGTGAATATGAGGTAATAACACTGGCTAACACCCACCCCCACAGAAATTTTACGATTTTAAGTCTGGGTCCAAGCACACAGCTGTGAAGAGTTTTAACGGACGCTGCCACCGAGGGTGATATAGCAGACCTGTTTCCACTGTTTGTAGTATATTTTGTACACGGTGAACAGTCCATTTGCTGATTACACTATTACCTATAGGACTTCGAATTTTGTCTAATGGTTTGGATTGTTCGTACTTGGTTTTATTTTATTTATAGCAGACAAATGTTTCTTAAGAAAGGGTCAATCGTATTGGGAGGCTAGCCCAACACGGTAGGACAACGTGGGGATGAAAAAATAAATTCATAGCAACCTCATCTTGCCTAGTAAGATACAGTGTCTAATGGGACCTTTCAATGTCATTCTCACCCCAATCTTCTGTGAACAAGCTACCTAATTAGGATGGTGGCCAGCAGGTGCGGACTTACCTTGGACACCTAGGGTGTACTGATCCTTGATATTATAAAATGAGCAACATGGGGTGGAGGTACAAAAGCCCTATAGATATATCGTTAAACACACACACACAAAGTACAAAGATATTTGGTGGTGTGTATGAGTAGCATATCCGATCTAAAGAGGGTTGTGCCCAGACTTACAGTAAAACTATTGTAATGTTGTTCGTAGGTGTTTAGGACCGGCTTCCACGAGGTTGAGAATGCGACAACATCTCAAAACGATACACGCTCACACCAGATATCGAAACCACTATCGTAAGACAGAGATGCCCGGCTAGCTGGTGCTCGAAGCGCAAGACTCAGACCACTAGGCCACCCAACCTAACCCCTTACGGTGATGTTATACAATATGTAACTTAATCAGTTATATCCACTGGTAGCAGGTGACTGGCACGTGACTTTAATCCGACACGTTTAATCAAAATTAGTAGGAGCTCGATCCACAGGGAAGGTGATTGCCACCTGCCATTTTGTCAGTTTGATATCTTTATCTGCGATATCAGTTTGTGGGAAGGGACACTCAATTTACTAATTGCCTTAGTTTGTTTTTACCACGTGGTACTGGCACCACGTGCCTTCTATTCAACACATTCTCTATTCTATTCTTCTCTTGGTCGCAATTGGACAAAGCTCATTGGAAACCACGGCCGGGGTCGTTCTAAACAGATTCGAACTTGTTTTTGGTAAAATTAATTCTCTCCCGGCATCAAATCATGTCGCATATATGGTAATTTCGAATTTTCCTTGAATTAATTTGTTGTCTTTGCTCGCAGACTCAAAAGTTATTTTGGCAGTTGAGGTTTCTAATAGAAAGCATACCCTATAACGCGGTTAAACGTCTCATACACCATGATGTATGTAGTTAATGCTGTCGTATGCACGGTAAGTACGAGTTTCTCCTCTAGCTCTATAAAGGAGCCACGGTGGTTCAGTGAGTAAAGGCTCTGTCCCGTGTTCGATCGTTAGGATGGAACGAAAAACAGAGGTCTCTTGTGCAAGTGTGTATACTCATTAGAGAGAACTCATGACAGGTTGAATTCAGTTAGCACACTTTATGTATATTTTCATTAGCCCAGTAGGTGTAGAAAAGTAGGACGCCAAACCCCATTTCATTCATTCAATCTAGCTCTACAATCACGTAAAATGCCACATCTTTTACTTGCAAACACGAAAGTTATTTTTACACCCGAATTTAATTGCACGTAGGAATATTAACCTGTGACCTTTCACTTTCGAGGGCCATTTCACATTATTTGCTTTCTCTAGAAACATCATTAAATGTTACTGTCTGTAGAGTATTTGTATCTGAGTTTCGAAAGGAATTACATTTTTGTGTTAATCGAGGTTTAATACGTGACAGAGACTTTAACAATCCAATATCCTGGTGTGGGCCAGTACTTCATTATTTGAGTTTCTTAAATCCTTAATAGTTATCCAAAATATTTAAAATATTTTTTTCAGGTAGTGCTAAGGATCTGAAGTTATCCTGAAGAGAAGATAAACCAAATGGTGCCATAAATAGAGATATAGTATGATACCTTATACTTGCTAATGGTAAACAATTCTAGTTGTTAATTTGTGGGGAGCCACGGTGGCTAGGTGGGTAAGACGCTGGCTCGCTAGACTGGAGGTCTCGGGTGTTCGATCCCTGCATTAGCCGAGAAAGTTCATTGGGATTTTCCGACGTGATTTCCCCTTGTCAGTGGTGCAGAACGGAGGGCCTGACAAGGACAGTTGTCTAGTCCTTCGGATGACACGAAAAACTGAGGTCCCGTGTATACATTGGAATGCACTAAAAGATCCGTTGGCAGTTGGAATTCTATATAGGAGTAGGCGATAGTGACGCTGCCCGGGCAAAATTTCCCCCATAGCACACTATATGGCGTATGCCCATCTTCATTAGCCCAGTATAGGAGCAGAACAGTGGGGTGCTAAACCCCATTTCATTTCATGTTATTTTGTGTGGAGATCTGGTAAGAATTATCTCATATCCATGTCACGAGGCCCCATGTACAATTGTCGGTTGCTATACCTGCAACGTGAATTTCAAGGGCTAATGGTCGAACTTGACTACTTGAGATCATAACGGCTGCTATAAATATGCATGTCGTGGGTTAGATCCGATGCTTGTATTTGATTAGAAAAATTAGGACTGGCTGCCAAACCTCACGGTTTAATTACTCTGTGGCCCGCTTCCTACCACTGATAAAGACCACTGCGTGCAAGAGAATCAGGGAGCCGCAGTGACTCATTGAGGAACACACTGGCTCGCTAATCAGGAGCACTCGGATTCGCTCGCGGTGTTGACTGAGAAAGCATCGCGAAATTTTCCGGCGTTGTGCCCCCTTGTCAGTGTCTCTACTCGTTCTGATGCGACGAAAAACCAAGGTCACGTGTAGACATTGGCAATATCTCCTTTGGTCCTGCACACATCATAAATAAATTGAAAATCACGATATGTTAGTCCCAAAATAGCCTAAAAATGGTGTTATTTGTCCTTTAACACCAAATTCCTTTCCATGTAATATTTATATTCATATAGATATATATATATTTTGTGTTATTAAAAACATATTTCATAACATAGTACTACATATAAAGCGATTGTGTATGTTCAAGAATTTAAATCATTATTTTAATTAAAACTCGATTCTGTTTTTTCAGGTGGAAGGGGATCATCTAGAATTAGTCACTTGACGAAAACTGCGATTCTTTGAAGTCATATATAACATGCTTATAAATTTCTAACGGTAAATTCTGTCAAGTCGCGGCTTTGTCAACGGTGAATAAAGAAAAACCCTATTGACGAAATGTGAAAGCGATTTATCAGAGCGTATACTAATCAATAGTGCTGCTCCCTTGACAGTGCAAGGGTCTTGTTTAAAGTGGGTAATCAAGTAAAACCGTTGTATTTGTTTATTGAGAGAGAGGCATTAATGTCAACACCACACTTGATTGGTAGAATACAAGTACTCATCATTAGAATTCAATAAACCTGAGCACTTGCTTGGGTCGTTTTATAATGTATGTGTGAAAATTCAAGCCTGGGAGTTTATTATTGAAAATAATATCGGTGTGAATAGCCTCAAAGATCGTATCTAAACGATATATCCCGTTTTGAACTATTTGATTTCGTGAAAACATTCTGATAAACATAGCTATGTAGTTGATGGAAAATGTGATTAAACATTGGACGACAATATTGTGAATTACTCGATACTGCTAAAAACAGATAGACGGAGGATCGTCAGTATATAAAAACAGACTGTTTTACCCCGATATACATATCAATGTAGTTAATGACTCTATCGTGCATTACTCGTACTGATAAACATAAACTATTTTAATAATTTGATTCGAAACATTGAGTGATTAATGTGCAATAGAGTGGACACTGTGATATATTATATTTTGATTTTGTGAAAGATATGACCGAATCCAGGACGACAATATTGTGCATTACTAGGTTCAGCTATATAAACACACTGGTTTAATCATTTCATTCGGGACATTGAGTGAATAATGAACATGATTGAGTAACATGTTGGACTATGTGATCAGATTATCTGGAAAAATGTTATTGTGAATTACTAGGGTGAAGATAAACGTATAAATATTGGGCGAACATTGGGCGAATGAACATTACGATATTATTATCACGCGAAAATTTGATCATTTGGATATTGTAAGTGGATATTGCATATATTGTAACGTGGATATTGCATATAGTGTAACGTGGATATTGCGTAGTGTAACGTGGATATTGCAAAGTGTAACGTGGATATCTCTTATGATAGGAAATTATTGATTTAAGATTCTGTCTGGGAGAAGACAGAGTAACAAATTAATTTTTCTGTTAATCAAACGATCGTCTTGCAAATTATTTGAATTTGAACATTGGAGTTAAGCATGCCAGCTTTCATGAAATATAATAGGGGCCATCATTATTTTCGTACTTAGTATAATCTAGTGTGTGTAGAAAAATCGATTCAGTGTTGTTTTTGTTTAAAATAAATTGTGGATTTGTTGGACACGTTATGTGGGCGTATTGTGTAATTTCACTTCGATGTGTAGTTTTTTAAAGTGACTGATTCTGCTCTGAACGCCACATCAATCATGACGGATCACCAGTATTATAATGGCGGGGGTTACGTCACAAAATCCAATACAATGAACAAAAGTTCCTCTGCTGCCTTAAGCAGAGACAATATTCACCAAGCTCCATACCGACGAATGGAACCTAAACATTTGCAGCCCCCGCCACGGCGCGTTGGACCAGGTCATCGTCAAGACCAACCCGATCTTATCAAGGATTATAGAGAGGTGAATAAAATGTCGGGTGAACAACATGGTTACCGTCCACACGCTTCCTTAGATACGACGGATCACCATGGTTATGTATCTCAGTCTGCTTTAGATTCGGCTCGGAAGAGTCAAGGAACTAATACTAAAGCTCCAAAGCGAGAGTTTCAAATCTACGCAAATGCTGATGTTAAAAAGGGAGAGTTCATCCATGATTCTTCAGGTTATCAACAAAGAAGTTTCAATGGGACTGCCGGCGTTGAACCCCAAAGATCAAGAGAATCAGAACGAACGTCTCAAACTCCTCGTCCACATTCCCGAGGATTGGCAATGAATGGCTCAACCCTGGAGGTCATCAATATGAACTATAATTCTATTCAGCAACAACTGGAAAGAAATCTTCTCCCAAAAAATCGACCATCCTCCAGGATGAGGTCTGAAGAAGCTCCAAACCAACCTCTAACTTCTGCAAATCATAAAGTTACAGAAAGGTCTACCATTTCGTCTGGTCGTAAAACACCATTGGATCAAAACACAAGATCATCATCGGAAGACTCAAATCGTCCTGTTACAAGAATGACGCAAGCTGAAATTATACGAAATCGGAATTTAGCGGCTGCTGGTCGTAAGACTCCGATTGAACCTCCACATCTTAGGAAACACACATCCGAAGATTCTTCGAACAGACCGACAGGCTACCAACAGTTTACACAAGATAAAGTATCCCCAATATTGTCGTCATCCCATAGAAATTCTAATGAATCTTCAAGACAGTCTGAGGATACATCATCCAGAGGTCGAATTCCGCCGCATGAGAGAACGAGTCGCCTCACTAAAGAAAATTTGGAGCAGCTTCGAAAGCCAAGACAGGAAAGCCGGTCGATAGATCAACAAAATGATACAGGTGTTATATCGCAAGTTAACCCTGGTGTTCGTCAACAGCCAATGGGTGCTGAAGCTGTTCCTCGCCCGGCTACTAGCATGGGGTTTGACAGAGCTGCCCCTCGCAGGCCACCAATAAGCAACGAAGCTAGAAACCTTGCTGTCCGAGAAAAGCTGCAGCATTTACAACGTAGAAAATCGGCAGGAACAAGCCCAGATGTGGGTAAAAGGGAATTTGCTACAACACCGACGCGAGATACACAAACAGAGAGTAGAACTCAACGGCACAGACTTAGCTCCAGTGGCCAGGAGAGACGAAAAAGCTACACAACATCAACACCAGCAAAAGGTCGTATGCAACCAGAACGACCATCATCGCGAGGATCGATTTTATCGAGATCAACAGATGACCGTTCATCTAGAGCCTTAACGGATTCTACAAACTTTTCTGATTCTCACAGAACCGCCACTAGGTTAAAAGACGTTGTGGGAAATAGTAAAGATGCTGCTGGACTCTCATTCAAAGAACGATCACTCATGCGATGGCAGGAGATAGACAAGCTGGTATGCAAATCTTCCAATCATGGCCCAGAAGAAATGACCAATAATAATGGTGTAATTTTACGGACTGACTATCCATTCTTCACAGAATTCTCTAAAAAGAGCCATTGTATATCTAGCTCTTTGGATTCTCTCAACCAAGAAACGTCGAAACACCTCGCTGAGCATCAAACAGATAGTGCATGGTTAAACGGTGGTGGTACACGTAAACACGCCTTGTTAGCCATAGGAAATGATAACGACTCGGATTTTCAGGGAACACCCCAACTTTCGTCCCCTGTTGACTTTGATCCAGAAAACACGAATTATCGGTCTAGTTCTAATGAGGATTTAGATTTGGAAGTGCGGAACCTTCTAGGTGAATCGCCAAATCAAGTTGATCCGATAGAAATGGCACTTTATCAGAAGATGATTGACGCCAAGATTCACGAGAAAATGACACTGCTAAGAGATCGCAGATTTGTGTTAGAAAGAAAAGACAATGATTTAAAATTCAAACGTGAAAAATTGCAGCGTCGGATGCAGCAAATGTTATCAAAAACGACAGCAGTGTTAAATAAATCAATCGAGTTGGATAAGTCCCGCTCTCTGAAGGAAATGGAATTCCAGGAGCAGACGAAATCCGTGGGTAACCCGGAAGAACTGTCTGTTATTCACGCGCTGTCATCTACAATCCGTCCTGATACCAGGTCATTAAATACTGGTAATCGTGCCCACAACTCTAGACCACAGCACGTGAGTGACACAATTTGAATACTCATTCTACCTTTTCCGGTGTCGTCCGAGAAAGTTCATTGGGCGTTTCCTAACGTGGGTTATCCTTGTCATTGGTGCAGGACAGAGCCACTGACAATGTCCAGCGTCTATTCGTTCGTATTGGATAAATATCCGTTGTCATCCGTGTACACGTTGGTTTGAACGTTTAAGAACCATTGACAACGGAATTTGAAATACGAGTCGCCCGGTCAAAACTGCCCCCATTGCACACTGCATGACATATGCTCGTCGGTTCATTTCTCTATCTAGCTCAGAAATTCGAATATGATTTTTCTGTACTTTAGACTGTAAGGTCAGTCACTGATTCAAGTGGCCTTTCAATCCTAAGCGTGTGCATGACAAGAAGGATCGCCCAATCCTTTTGGAATTTGTACAACGGTTGCTGTTTAAAACGACTAGGCCCCAGGTCACCAATCACCATTGGTTCCCCGTTCTCTTTAATATATTAGTTCTCATCACTTTTGTCGAGAAAGAGTAAGGGAGACAATATTGAGGAGAATCAATGGTGGTCTGACTCCATGTCAGCAATAGGCATCCGTTTCATCCAAAAAGCAATCTGACCGATACCTGATCAGTTGTGTTTTTTTTTCTATTTTTAGACCATGGAGAGAAAACCTCGACACCAAGGTTATAGATCTGAACCACCAGTGTATGGTGGTGCACAGTCTTCCAGTCATCATGAAAAGGAAGAATATGTGTAGTTCTACATCGGTTCTTACAAAAAGGACTCGATTGTCAACTGTTAAGTGAATTCATTACGGTTAAGAAGTAATGTAGACTATGGCGTGTTTATCGTTTAATATCACTGGCACGAGAATAGTGACTCAGTTATCCAGTGATATGCATGAGCCAAATGTTACTCCGTTATCAAGTGATGTTTTTCTTTTTCAGTTCAACATATATCGAGGCACCCACGCATTTCAAACACTTTATCGTTCGATCGTTCTTTCATTGGTTCGTTGGGGCTTAACGCCCGCTTCCACTTCGTCCAGATTTTTATGGTAAGGACTAGGAAACAGCCATAAGTTGGAACTGACCAATCAATCACAATTGACTATGAATAGAAGGAAGGCTTTGTCATCATAGAACAAAATGAGAGGCCTTAACTGTTGTCCAAGTTGGAATGTTGGTACAATATATCTAACCCCCATCTTCATTAGCACCGATGGATAAGAATGTAGGACGTTAAACACCATTTCATTTCATTTTTCCAACACATGGCGCTACTATTTGACAAATTCGTAAATCACGTGTTTAAAGACAAGAGCACGTAACTCCAAGTAATCAAAACGGAAATAGATAATTAGTGGATTGCTATAGATATTCATATTCTCTAGGACTAATAAGGCACGGTGTGAGATGTATGTGCTAGATAAATGATGTTAGATGTATTCGAAGTGGAGACAATTTAGGCTGGTGCAAGGGAGACAACAACAACAACAAAGCGTGAACTATAGCTTCTCTAAATACATACATAAATAAGACACGGTGTGAGATGTATGTGCTAGATAAATGATGTTAGATGTATTCGAAGTGGAGACAATTTAGGCTGGTGCAAGGGAGACAACAACAACAAAGCGTGAACTATAGCTTATCTAAATACACACTGTTTAACCGGCATTTAGTAATTGAACATATTAAATTAAACACGCGAGTTTTCATCGGAGCTACACTTCTTCAACGATTCTCTTGTCGTTTTTAAGCACAATACTGATACAGTCACAGGGAATGAAATATATGCTACGTACAATCAAAACATAAGTGAAAACACTTTATTAAATACACCCTAATACATTAATTTCGAACAATTGAAATAACACATTTAATCTGTTTTCTTTATGGTTGCTTCCACATGATGTGATTGAGATGAGTGTATCCGCATTTTTGTTTAGCCAAATCACGATTACAGTCATGGATCACTCGGGCGATGCTATCAAGTAGGCTTGCCATGCAATTTAGCTGACGTCAATTGCAGAATTAAACCGTATTTTACCAGATTGAGTTACGACTAATGAACTATCAAGTGTGATAAATAATGACGTATTTAATAAATATACATTAGTGGTTTATCTGTAAAATGAACTTTTTCTATGTGAAATCTTTCACCATAGCAACCGTAATGCATTTACATTGTACTTCCTGACGTCAAGTGTGATAAATAATGACGTATTTAATAAATATACATTAGTGGTTTATCTGTAAAATGAACCTTTTTCTATGTGAAATCTTTCACCATAGCAACCGTAATGCATTTACATTGTACTTCCTGACGTCATGGTGGACAATCCACATCCGGTTGAGAATTGTTTGTTCCGGCAGATGATTAGTTGATTAGTTATATTATTTTAGTGGTTTATATACGAAATGAACTTGTTTATATTAAATCTTTCACCATAGGAACAGTAATGTAATAACATTCATCGTCCTGTCGTAATGGTTGACAATCAGGCGGAGATACAAATCTAAATATCGCTGCAAATGCATGTATCCGTGGTCCCAAAAAGAACTATATTAAACGAAATTCGAACATAAAATAAATCACATTATTGCTTATTCTGTAGAAGTAACTTAAAATATAATTCAGTGCTTACTATATCTATTTGATTCTGATCACCATTCATTAGCTTAGAAGTAACCTAACGTGGCCATCCTTTATTAGCCTAGACGTAACGTAACGTAGTCTGGTCATTTAATATTCGCCTAGAGGTAACGTAACGTGGTCATCTAATATTAGCATAGACGTAACGTGGTCAGCTAGTAGAGACTTTTGGCAAGCGTAAATTTCTGGTCCGTATCGCGTATCCGTATGGATTTTGCGTATGACGTCATCGATGTGTGTATATTTCTCATACGTGATACGACACACGGATACGGCAGCACGTATCGAACAGCTTTTATACGGAAAGGTCCGTATAACATTGTCGTGTCCTTTTACCGTCTTTTTTGCTACTTTTAGACGCTGAAATGTTGTATCGTAGTGTTTTTATGAATCTTTGTGTATTCTAGAACATGAAGGTGTATATTTGATGTGATTTTAACCATGATGGTTGAACTACGTGCTAAATTTAGGGAGGCGGAACCTTGTAAATCTGTAAATGATTTTATTCTGTGGTAAAGGGGGATAAACTTTCTGAAATGTTACATTAGTGAAACCAAAAATTGCAGTCGAGTCGAAGTCGAAGATTTTAAATAAGATTCGACATTAATTTTTTTTAATAGCTCGGCTCTAATAGGCACTTGACTAGTACTGATGGTGATCTTGTAGATATCTGCCATCATGCTGTAATAGAACTAAGCTCAGCTGATCGACGCACACGTACGCGACACGAAAATCTGCCAAAACTCTTAAACTACAATGACGCAACGTATCACGTATACGATACGGATACGTGATACGGATGGGACAATTCCGCTTGCCAAAAGTCTTTAGTATTAGCCCAGACGTAACATAATGTCATATATTATTAGCATTAAAATACAGATGTGACGTCAGCCTTTAATGTTGGCGTACCATTATTTCAAATAATCGTACGGGCAACTTGCCAATCCTACATTATTTATACTATTGAAATATTAGACTCGCGTTACGTATTTCACTGTAAAAGCACGTGCGGAGTGTCTGGATTTTAAGTTGTTTAATGGTCTCGAGCTTAAGACATTGCCTGTTACAATATATTACTTAATGTCTCGCTCTCGACCATTAAACAATACATACGTAAGGTAATGTCATCTAACATTACCCTAGACGTAACGTAACGTGGTCATTTATTATTAGCCTAGATGTAACGTAAAACAACAATCGTTGTTTACTATGTGTATCTGATTATGTTCATCTAATGTTAGTCCCTTATTGTTGATCAATCAAAATAATATCAATAATCCATTTGTTTTATTCCGTCCAGATGTATATGTCTCTGTATTTCCATTCATTCAATGTGTTTTTGTGAATTGATGAATTGTTGATAATAGGAAAATAAATGATACAATATTTACATTGGGCTATATTTATATGGGCATTACAACTCGAATGTCAATACATGGTGATGAGTAAGACGATGGCTCGTTAGCCTGGAGGTCGCGTGTTCGATCCCACCATTGGCCGATAAAGTTCATCGTGATTTTCCGACGTGGTTTCTCCTTGTCAGTGGTGCAGGACTGATAGTTCAAGCCCTAATGTAAATCCGTCGGCTTTTCGGGTAAAAATCGTGGAACAAGCTTTATTTTGTAGATTTTCATGTTTAATGACAAAAAACCAATGTTGACATTTTTATACGCCCACATTTTCATGTGGACGTATATTGTCGTCGCCCCTGTCCGCCCGTCCGTCCGTCCATAATTGTTTGTGAACAGTCTACAGGTCACGATTTTTATCCGATTTCAATTAAACTTGAAATATAGGTTTATCACCCTAAGATCTCGGTTCCTGAATTATGGCCCTTGATTGTAGGAAAAATCACTTTCGTTTTAGCTTGTTCTCTATCGATCTCTCGAAAATGTGGGCGTATCCTGCCTGGCAGTCGCTGGTTTTCTGAGTAGGTCTTCATAGGGTATTATCTGAGGGCAGCCATTTTTCGATAATATTGCAACTTATTTTTTTTTTATTGTTTCCCGCCTTTCGAAGAAAGCAGGGGACTATTAAAATGGGTTCGTCCGTCTGTCCGTCTGTCTGTCCGTCACACTTTTTGGGACACAATAACCCTCTTTCTAATTGAGCTAGAATGCGCAAACTTGGTGTATTTGTTTATTAGGTCAATACCTTGATGGAGTTCGAAGATGAGCATATTTTTCCGCTTAGGGTAAGCGGAGATAAGCAATTTGATTGCTTAATGCTTTGGGACACGATAACTTTAGTTCTAATTAAGTGAGAGTGATGAAACTTGGTGTATAGCTTTATTACATCAATACCTTGACTAGGTTCGATAATGAACATTTTCTGCTGAGGGTAAGCAGAGCGATAAGCAATTTGATTGGTCGAGACTTTGGAACACAATAACTCTCCTTCTAATTGAGGTACAATGTTTAAACTTGGTTTAGGCATTCATTAGGCGAATCCCTTGATGGAGTTCGATGATGAACATTGTCTGCTTAAGGTAGGCAGAGATAAGCAATCCGATGGGTTGTTGCTTTAGGGGGCAGGATAATTTTGGTTATAATGAAGTGAGAGCGACGAAACTCTGAATATAGATTCATTATATCATTACCATGACTAAGTTCGATTGTGCGAATTTTCTGCCTGGGCTAAGGGGCGATAAGCAATTTGATTGGTCAAGACTTTGGAACATAAAAACTCTGCTTTTAATTGAGGTAGAATGTTTAAACCAGGTGTAGATGTTCATTAGGTGAATTTCTTGACTGATTTCAATGATTAACATTTCAAGCTAAAGCTAAGCAGAGCTAATCAATTTCATTGGTCGATGCTTTGGGACAAGATAATCTTGATTCTATCTGATAGAGAGTGATGAAACTTAGTGTATAGTTTGATTGCTCGATACTTTTGAAAAAAATAAATGTGTGATTAATTAATATACGTCATCTATTTATTTTGGGATTTCGGCGGGGGACATCAGCCTCACTGTTGGCTTTTGTTCACCTTATTTATGTTATTGCATGTCAACTGTGATTTGGCAATGTTTTAATATTGACAGGGGTAATGATATATTTCAGATTTTTTTTCGATCACTTCATGAAGTTATTTCCAAGATGGCGACCATTTTGGGCGGGAGAATCGGACCATATGTTGATTTTGATTAAGTAGTAGTGTTTGGTTTCAATATATATGTTTTCGGGGTCACAGATTCCATTCCTGGTATTTGCAACCTTGTAAAATGATCACATATTCACATACTTAGCATATTTCCAAGATGGCGGCCATTTTTGATGAGAAAATAGTACGATGTGCAAATTATGATTTAGTAGTAGTGTTTGGTGTCAATATATATGTTTTCGGGGCGCAGAATCCATTTGTGACATTTTCAACATTGTAAAATGAGCATATGTTCACATATTTATCATATTTACAATATTGCTGCCACTTTTGGCGGGAAAATCGGATGATATGCTGATTTCGATTCAGTAGTTGTGTTTGGTGTCAACATATATGTTTTCGGGGCGCAGATTCGATTTCTGCCATATACAACTGCGTAAAATGACGTATGTTCACCAATTTTGCATATTTCCAAGATGGTGGAACGTTTTCTAATCACATTATTATCATTTTATTTACTTTTCGTTGTTATTTACAGGTTTCTGAGTCCAATTCTGCTACGTAGGCTATTAGCTTGTAGCACATTCCTGAAAGCCGGTACCGTGTCGTTCCCATTTGGTATATTATCCAACGATGAAAATTCCTCATCCGAGATGACCACTGAACTGAAATCGATTTTCCTATTCACTCGGTCACCTGGCATGAAGGCAAAGATAGCGTAACGGCAACGTGGGGCTTGCGCTAATAAGCGTGGCAAAAAATTGACACGCGCCCATTATGCTCATGCCACAACCACACTAAGCGCTTCCTACGCCTAGCGCACTCCAGTCAAGCTCTGGCTACGCGCAAAGTGTTCCACCATGATCTTGCTGTTACCCCGTCAGACCGGGATACGTTCTCACCACACTCCAGTGACGTGCCTACCTGGCATAAGACGCTCTCTTGCCACGCCTACAGAGACTGTGCCATGCTCACCCCGTTCTCATTCACTTTCAAAGCAGATGTTTCCTCTTTGGGTGCTAGACTGGAGTTGATGGGCGAAGCTCAGTATCTTCCCTATATAGACATAAAAGCCGTAACAGCGTAGCAAGCATGTGGCCAGGAGCTTCGTTTCATCTTGGCGGCAACGTGGTTAAAAGAGGTGGTAAAATACACGATAAGAAGCCCTCGTGGCATATATTATGTTATCAACTGACTTCCAAGCTGAATGTGGAACGAGCATGTGGAATGCTGTTGAGTTGGAAACGTAAAGCATGTTATCACTTACACAACAACGTGGCCGGCCACTTTGACTGCACGGCCACCAGTTCTTTCCAGTTAAATGACTTGCAGTTTAAGTGGTGATATAGTTTGTTTATCCAACGTGACAGCATTCCTCCGAACGAATCCTTCCACGCGCAGCTCGTGGCCAGTTGATAATATAATCTATGCCACAAAAGTTTCTTATAGCAAGTATTACTATTTTATTCGCAGTCCTTGTTTTTATTTCTTTGTATACCGCTTTATGATATACATTTCTGTTCTAATTTTTAATTTATTAATTAATTTTTCAATAGTTTCACAATTTTAACCATCGTTAATTTTGTATCTATAACTGACAGACAACATAAACTGAAAGTCTCGATGAAGCCACCAAGTTTTAAAATCAGATTGGAGTCCAACTACTAAAACGCTATTTCCCTGGTACTGGCTTTCAGGAACATGCTACATGCTTACACAAAAATGGATTCAGAAACCTTTTCAGTAATGTGTTAGAAAATGTCCTGCCACAAAAGGCGGCCATCTGAATGGATGAACATACCATCATTTCACGCAGTTGTAAATGGCAGAAATCGAACTGCCGCCGAAAACATATATTGCACAAAAACCCAACTACTTAATTAAAATCAGCACATCGTCCCATTTTCCCGCCACAAATGACAGCCATACTGGAAATATTATAAATATGTGTATACGGCAGAAATGGAATCTGCACCCCGAAAACATAATTATATCCTGATACCATAGACGACTACTTAATCAATATCAATGCATCGTCCCATTTTCCCGCCACAAATAGGTAAACTTGTGATCATTTTACACAGTTGTAACTGGCAGAAATGGAATCTATGTCACCGAAAACATATATATTGACCCCAAACACTACTTAAACAAAATCAGCACATCGTCCGATTTTCCCGCCAAAAATGGTCGCCATCTTTGAAATATCTTCATGAAGTGATGGAAAAATATGTGAAATAAAGTCACGACCCCTGCCAATATTAATACATTGCTAAATCACAGTTGATATGTCGATAACATCATAAATAAGGTGAAAATAAAAACAAATAAGTTGCAATATTATCGCAAAATGTCTGCCCTCAGATAATGGCCTCTTATACTGTGAAGACCTAGTCAGAAAAAATGTCAACATTGTTTTTTTTTTTGTCATTAAACATCAAAACCTACAAAAAAAAGCTTATTCCACGATTTCTACGCGAAAAGTCGACGGATGGGAATTAGGTAACAAACCGAATCGGACTTTGAGGTCCTGACAAGGAAAGCTGTCGAGTGGTTCGGATGGGACGAAAAACTGAGATCCCGTGTATACACTAGCTTGCACGTAAAAAATCCCTTGGCCGTATGGCGTATTCCCGTTTTCAGTAGCCCAGTCGGAACAGAACAGTAGGACGTTAAACCCCATTTCATTTGAAGCTGGCTCACTAACCAGGATGTACCGTAATGGATCCCACAATTGACCGCGAAAGTTCCACGGGGTGTTCCATTCGGCCACCCAACCCCTCTGGTGTGAATTGATGAGAAAAAGGTACGGGTTCAAAATTCATCAGATTTATTAAAGAATCGCTACTAGATATTTTCATTACTAATCATATGAAAACTGCTTTAATAAAATATTCAAAACATAATTGGTATGAAAACAGCTGGTGGAATTCAAGTTTAAACGCCGAAGTTCTTTTTTCGTTCCCCATAGAATATCGTAAAAATCGCTTATTGCTTAATGATAATGAAACAGACAAAATTTCGTACTGTAAAAGAAGCTGATTTAAATAATCTTCTCAATTGTGAATTCACATATGAGATAAATATTACCCTAATCGAGGGTTGATATGTGAATTAACCCAAAACCGGAGGTCGTGGGTTATTTCACATATCGACCGAGGGTATTAGGGTAATATTTGTCTTACACACCGACATCAATGTTTAAACATACATTATGCAAGAGCTAAATCTGATTATTGCAAGTCTTTATTTAGGCTTCAGATGTCATAGAAATTATAAATTAGATCT